TAAGTACAGAGAGACATTTCATTACATGGGCTGCTAAGCTAAACCAGAATGGATATAAGGGTATTACGATTTCAAAATTTGGGTTTAAGAATATGATGCTTTGGAGAGGGTCTTCTTTTGTTTTCACAGAGGACCAGACCCTGTGGATTTCTTCTATTACAATTTGGTATGATAGACCACGCCCTCCTGAAAGGTTGTTGTGAACATCTTCAGAAAATTGCTTCGCTCAACTGCCAACTGAGATGAAACTAGCACACAGGTTATACCATGAAAGACCTAATTAACGACGCCCCCATTCAGCAGGAAGCAGTTTGGAGAGAAAAAACTGCGCCCATGTTCCCAAAATATTGTTTGTAAATGTTCTTTTACATTTAAAGGGGTAAATGATATAGGTGTGAGTAATTTGCATTGGTATGGATTTTACAGTCAATTTTGTTATATGTATATGTATTTCTGATCTTGATTAAGGTATTGTGATTGTGTAGTTCATTTAAAAATGTAATGTATAATTAAGAAATATAGGTTAATGGTTAATCATCAATAATAGTCAATCTTGTAGTCATGTTAGTTAGATTTTCTAGATATATAGAGATACATTTCAGTTAGATAGACATTCTTCATATCTTTCAAAGACTGCAGAATATGGCATTTAATGTTTTAATAACTTAGGACTTTTCATGACAATGAGACATATCTGCTCCTGGTGGCACCAATCTACTTTGAGAGGAAGATGGGCATCGAAGAGGATCCTTATGGAGTTGGATAGCCATTTGGGCAAGAAACTGCTCTTGCCTGGACTGTTGCATAAAATGGACACAGAGAACCCGCAGAGAGAGGACTGCTGAACTTGCCTAAAGGTGAGACGGTCTTTTGGGGTTCATGACTCATGAAAGAGTCTGCGAGACATTCTACAGGACACAGCAGATAGTGACTGAACTGTCTTTGAAATTTCCTGCTTCATGGAAATGTCTGCTGGATACTATGGGCCTGAAGGCTGAAGATGGATGCCCCAACCATACAAAAGAACTTTGGGTGACTGTCCAGGCAGCAAGATGTCTCTGTCATTTCTAGAGTTTTCTTATTTCTTGTTTACTTAGGTAGTATTATATCCTTCTGGAGTCTTTGATGGAGTTGAAGAATGAATAGATAGTTATAGTTTTCCTTAGTTATGATAAAAGATAAAATAGATATAAATATTGTAACTGTAATTCTTGCTTGATAACTGTTTTGCTATATGTAATTTTACTATGTTAAAGTTAAAGCCTTTCTTTTTTGTTTAAACAGAAAAAGGGGAAATGATGTGGGAGTGATTTCTTATTAATAAAGAAACTGCCTAGACCCATTTGATAGGCCAACCCTTAGGTAGGCGGAGTAAACAGAACGGAATGCTGGGAGAAAGAAGCTGAGTCAGGGAGTCGCCATGATTCTCCCACTCCAGACAGACGCAGGTTAAGATCATTCCTGGTAAGCCAGCTCTTGGGCTACACAGATTAATAGAAATGGGTTAGATCAATATGTAAAAGCTAGCCAATAAGAAACTGAAACTAATGGGTCAGGCAGTGTTTAAAAGGAAAAAAAAAAAAAAAAAAAAAAAAAAAGAAATAGCATTATCAGCTACACCCTTAGTTAAAGAGGTACATACTGCCCGTCATATTGATCAATTATTCAAAAATGTCAGTGTTGCTTTAATGATCCAGGAGCAAATAGACAGAGGGTTTAAGGATAGACTCAATGGTCTTGAAGAGGTTATACTTGAATCATCTGTAACATTACCAAATGCATATACAGAGTCCATAAAAGCGGTCCTGGGGCACACAGGTGTCTTCTCCTGGGCCCTCAAGTAGCGTGCTCCTTTAGCTGCCACTGGGTTGCCTGGAGGGAATTGCTTTCTGCATCTCAGGAACCGCACACCGAAAGGGGGGGGGGGTATTGTTTTGTTTTCCTAGGGGTCAAACTAAGGACCTTGTACATGTTAAATAAAAGAGAAAAAAAAAGTCACTAAGCATTAGTTCCCACTAAATCCAGTGTTCAAGGCACAGTTAACAGTTTTGAAGTGTGACCTTTGCTCTACAGACAGCAGCTTTACCCATCATATGCCTGGGTTTTCATTGGCAAGGTCAACAATTACAAGGGCATCAATTACGAAGACTGGAGGTGCAGTCTGTTCTCTGCTCTCTCCTCTCTTTCCTTTAAGCATTAGTGGGACTTAAACCTAATTCTGCATTCATGTTAGGCAAGCGCTCTACCAGCGAGCTATGTCCTTGGGCTGTCTTGTAATTTTTATGTTTGATGCACAGGTCTTGTCCAAGTGGCCCGGGCTTGCCTTATCATTGCTTTGTTGTCCAGGCCTTGAACTGTGCAACCTCTTACCTCATATCGCTGATTAGCTGGGATTGTTGGCCTTAACAACTGGTTGCCTTTGAACCAACCCATGCCTCCGGAGTGCTAGGATTATAGGCTTGAGACCCACCTTGAATGCTCATATTCATAACTGTCCTACCACTGTGGTTATCTCCTCCTTGTCAGTTTCTGCAGACATACATACTTTGCACTTATTTGGGTATAAATATTACTCTTGCTAGGGACATAGCTCTGTGGTTACTGTGCAGTTGGAGCATCATTCTCCTCTCTCTCTCTCTCTCTCTCTCTCTCTCTCTCTCTCTCCCCAAGCTCATCTACTTTGAGTCTCTGAACAAACGAAAGGCTCCAAAAGCCCAGCTCTGCATTCTTGGAGGCTACTGCAGCTTCCTCCCCTGATGCTGCTCATGGTCCTGCCTAAACACTTGGCTTTTGACACACCATCATAAATGTGTCACCTATAAATCCTCCTGGCCTTACACGACTTCCCTGTCATTGATCTCTGAGATCAGTGAATCGGCCTGGGAGTTGCTTTGCTCAACAGTGGTTATACTTTTTAAATTTGACTGCTCTGGCTTACTGAATTGGCAGAGAAACCTATTATCTTGGGGCAGAGAACCTCTTACTTACTTCTGACTAGTCAAGGAGAAAGAAACTCTTTGCCACAGAATGAACTAGCATGCCACCACCTTTGTCAAATCACTAAACTTGTCATCGGGAAACAAACACGACATTCAGTGCTTCCTAATGTCAAGCCAAATGAATGGCACAGGAAGTGTTCAGTCCTCTAGTAGCTTGCAACGTGAAGAGCATACAAGGTCCAGAGACGCAAAATGGGGCATGTTTCAAAATAAGTGGCTTGAACTCTTAAAGGAAAACAAAGGGGGGCTGAAGAGATGATGCTCATCAGTTAAGAGCGTGTACCGCTCTTGCAGAAGACCTAAGTTTGGGTCCCAGCACACATGGCCCGGGGCTTGCAACATCTGTAACTCCAGTTCTAGGAAATCTGGTAGTCTCTTTTGGTCTCAGTGTGCGTAGAAATACACAGATATAAATAAACTTATTTTTTTTTAAAAAAAATAGTATTGTTGAGAGGAGATTAATTAGACTTTTTAAAGAAAGAGATTAAAAGCAACCTGAGATGGGAAAACATTTATAGAATTCTGCATTGAAAACAAATGACAAGTAAAAGACACCAGAGAAATAAACATATTGATGTAACTGGATGCTAAATGACAGTAGAGAATAAGAGTTCAGACAAGTGTGACAAGGGCCTCACAAGACAATGTGTTGTATGAATACTCAGAGTTGGGGTGCTATGTTCAAATTAATCCCGAGACAACATATCAAGCTCTTAGAAACCGTTCTTACCCGAAAGTTTCTACTCCTGACTTTGGCTCAAGAGGATAAAAGTCTGTTTGGTGCCTTCCTGTGTATCTGTCTTCTTAGCTTCAGGCCTAACTCCTGATTAACTCTGCATAAGCGTGTTAACCACTCAAATCCTGTGTGTTAGCCACACCACGGTGTCCCTTTCTGAGGGAGAATGTACAGATCATGTGAAGTGAGCATACTGTGCCAGAGACAAGGGCATGCTTTTTAAAACATCTGTCTGGGGACAGAGCCCACATTCCAGCGCAGTAGCAATGTTAAGAAGTTTAATGGAAACAGAACAGAGAAAATCCTACGTGGATCGGCATACTTTAAAAGTGCCTCAGTGGAAACACTACGAGTCTCCACGACAGGCTTCAGACGTTATCTGACAGCATTCTTAGCCTCTTGACTGATGGGAGGTAGGTGTGTGTCTGTACATTCTACAGGATTTACCTTAGGGTCACAGGCTGTTAGATCACACACACAGGTGGGCAATAAATGGCTCTACTAAAGGGTCAACAAATGCCCAGATAATGTTGACTCTGGACCCGGAACATTCTAATCTCTCCACAATGGGAGGTCTAAACAGTTAATCAGACCTGCAGACCATTCAGTGGAAGGCCTTCTTATCTGGAATGTTCTCTTACAACTATTAGACAATTTTTCAGGAAAAACTATTGTTGTTGTTGTTACTATTGTTATTATTACTATTGAAAGATTAATCTTATAATTCTGACCATTTATCTCACAATGGAATCCACATACCGTTCCCAGGGTTTGGTGTGTGTGAGAACGCTACAGGCAAGGCAGAGAGGATTTGAGAATTTAAATTTTCCGAAGCACGGGCATCCCTTCGCTCTAGTCCAGCCTTAGAAGCCACCTTATTATACATAGAAGTCACAAAGTACAAGGGTTCGTCTGGATCTGACTCTCTGAGTAAAGGTCACAGCTGACCACAGTAAACGTCCGCCCGTGCCCTCTGGCCTGGATTCGGGTCCAACCCTCGGGAAGCCCTCCTGAGAGGACGCGACCGCTGGGAGCTCGGGTGACAGGAGGCAGACGGACAGCCGCTCAGGATGGGGCCAGGCCGCGGGAAGGGCGCAGGCGCGCCAAACTTCAAGGCCCCGCCCTCTCCTGGCATGACCACGCCCCCGACGCCTTCTGCAGGCGCAGGTCACGCCCCTTGAATCCCCTCACTAACTTCGGTGCCTTCAGAGTCAAGATCCGGTCGGCCGGCTCAGGGTCGCTCCATCCTCCCGCCCCGCAGAAGCCACGCCCTAGGCCACGCCCCGGTCTCCTCGCCACGCCCCCTGTGGGCGAGCCCCCACTGCGCGGACCTTAGTACCTTGCCTTGCAGTGGTCCGAGTCGGCTGAAAGGAGTCATCATGGCAGCGGCGTTCCGCAGAGGCTGCGGGGTGAGCTGGGTGCGGGCCGGGATCGGGAGGGTCGGTGCTCTGCTACGCGGCCGGAGGAAGGGCGGGAGCCTGCGGGCGTCGACCCGCGCCGCTGACCCCTGCGAGCAGGACCTCTAGACCTGCTTCACGCTCAGCCAGGAAGGGGCAGATAGTTCTCAGTGTTATCCACCCTTCCCGAACTTGGTGGGAACCCGGTGACAGAACCGTGTTCTGGCGGAGGGGACTTGCAGAAAACTCTCACTACAATCCCACTCGGGAAGGCATCAGACTGTGTGTTGGTCTGCAGCTTCGGGTGTAAACAGATGTCAGGACCCAGACAGGCTGGTCCTGGGTGTGCACAACCCAGGGTTAGCCCTGATTGAAGGAAAGGGAAGTGGCTACTGCAGACAGAATTGGTTTAGTGCCCCTCTGGAATGTTCAGGCACTCTTCCAAAAAACAGAAGAAACTTCATGAAACCTGTATGCATGAAAAACTTCAGCGTTTTGTCTTCTGAAGTCTGTCTTAGTCACTAACTAAACTAAAACTTTCATATCTTAAATATTATCGATGTATTCATACAAGACGTCCACTTATGCCACTTAAAATAGCCTTTGACTCCAAAAGATGTAGTTTTAGAATTTACAATGATTCTATTGTCGTAGTGATTGCCTTTTCCCCCTGGCCATTACAATACAAATTAATGGGCTCTGAAAGCAGAAATTGGAGGGTTTTTTAAATTAGTTTTAATTCTGACAACAGAGCTAAAGGACTCTTGGTACCTCCAAGGACAAATGAAGGAAAGTCCAACACCATACCTAATCAGAAAATGCACGTTTCTTTATCTGTTTTCCCACACTGCTGTAAAAGCAAGCCTTAAATTTCTAAGAAATGCGTTATTTAGCTGTGCTGTTGCAGATTTGAGGACTAAAGTTACTATTGTTCCCATGTTTGGAATTCTGTTGTTGGCAGAGAGCCAAGCGTAATCAACACTATTTTGACTAGAATTTCAGAAGATCCTATTTGTTGCTTGTTTACATTGGATCTCACCTTGTCGTCCAGGCTGGCCAAAGCTCACAGCTTCCCTGCTGCTTTCCAAGTGCCCTCAAATCGGGCTATCTTGTTTAATAATCCCCAGTTATCCACTAACAGTGAGCCCTAGTCTCCAGAAGCGAATACACATTGTGTATTTGGAACTGTTCCAAGATAGGCATTTGCGAAATTTGGACTTGGTTTTGGGACACTAACTTCTTAACCCTGCGCTGTTCTTTACTCTGTTTTACTAAGTTACCTCTACACACACACACACACACACGTACACGCATGCACACAGGACTGCTCATCCTGCACAACCAATGAGCAGGCCCCTGTGTTAATTGGGCCCACCCTAATTAAATGACTAGTATCAGTATTCAACTAGTTTTATAGAGTGGGGATCTTCATCCAGTCTCAGAAGTGGAGGCTGAAGAATTGGGATCCTAAGGCCAGCCTGGATTGCACAGTGGGTCTGTAGCCATCCTCAATTACCTTGAAAGAAGTTGTCCTAAAACAGACACAAACTGGATTATTAGGGCTTAGCGTGGTGCCCTTGTGAGGTAGAGGTGGGTGGACCGCTGGTGGCCCAAGGCCAATCTGATCTACCGAGTGATTTTCCAGGTTAGCTAGGGCTACCACTGAGACCTGGTGTCAAAAGCTAAACAAACAACGGCAGCAAAAATCTAGGCTCTGGGACACACACAACTGATTATGGTTTCTTTGCTTGTTTGTTGTTTTTGTTGTTCAGTATTTGCGACTCTTGCCGAGGGCCCAAGCTTGCTTCGCAGCACTGATGTTGGGTGTCTCGCAAGTATCCATAACTCCAGATCCAGGGGATTGCAGGCCCTCCTCTTAAAGTGCTTGGTACTGACTATAAAAACATGGGTCTTGAATATGACCATATAGATGCTGTGCTCACTTTGGGAGGTCAGCATAAATAATTTATTCATACATGGGTGTGTCTGTGTGGAACTCTTCGGCATACACAGAGCAGGTGTGGAAGTCAGAGGACACTAGTGGGAATCAGTTTTCTCCCACCTCGTGAGTTCCAAGGATCGCACTCCTGTCGCCAGCCTATACCGTAAGCACTTTTGTCCCCAAGACACCTCAGTGGCCTAGGCAGCATTCGTTCATCTGTTAATACTTAATTGATCAGATTTATTTGTGATACACCTGTTTTTTCCAGGTCCTAAGAAGTCTTTCTCATTTTGAGTGGCGAGCGCAACACACGAAAGCGTCTCTCAAGAAGGAGCCGGGATTAGGGTTTAGTTTTGGTACGTGTGACGTTCTGTCCCTTGATCTGAAAATGTGTGTTTGTAAACATGATGTCTGTCCATGGGTAGAACCTGTCACCACCCACAGATGGTTCACATCTGCTGTGTGGCATCATGATCTCCGTTCGTACACGCCGTACATCCAGCAGTGTTGACAGGCTGTGTGTACATTATTCTTCCTCTTTCTCTCCCAAATGGATAGCCCAAATGAGCGAATATTTACCAATATACAGGAATTGTCTTCAACTTAGAAGTTAAATGTAACAAATACTTCTTTTTCCTTGGAGACAGACTCGCACTCCATAGCTCTGGCTGGACTGGAACTCTCTATGTAGACAGATAGGCAGCCCTGGAACTCACAAAGATCTGCCTGTCTCTCCCTCCCAAGTACTGAGATTAAAGGTGTGAGCAACCACACCTGGCTTAACAAATATTTCTCGAAACACTTCCTGGATTCAGTGCTGGATGTTGTAACAAGCTAAAAAAAAATGGCCTAATTTATGTGAGCTATAGTTTGATAGAATCATGACATTCTCAGACCTAAGAGCAAGAAGCAATGCAATATTGGAGAGACAAGAAGCAGGGGTTTTCTTTCCTTTTTATAAAATGAAACATTCAGGTCAAAAATGTGAAATATATCCTATTTTTAGGGTCCTTCATCCCCTAAAGGTCTTTTGCTTCAAATTTGTACCTTTCTCCTAGGTAGCTTTCTGGGGTTATTGGTTTTATATTTGAATATAATTATATATTATATTATATACATATATAACATTATATGTCTAACATATAAATATATAATATTTATGTACTAACCAGAATTAAACAAAGACTTTTCAAATGATGTGAGGATAGCAGATTGGATCAGTTGGCGTTTGAAGATGGCCCCCTTTACTCTGCTATCTACTCTCAGCTTTTTACAAATTCCTACATATCAGTTAGCACTGGCAAGAATCTGTGACAGCCTGCTGAGTGCCTGAGGGTGAGGGAGGTCGAGGGATTTAGGAGGGAGCTTGTGAGGCTCTGACTGAGTGCTGACCACCTCGGGGCCCATCAGTCTGCTGCTGAGGAATAGAGGAGACGTGAGGTTTGCGACATCAGTCACGTGAAAGCATTTCGCCAACAAATAGTGAAGTGCTGGCCGCCTTTCCTGCCTTTGACCAGCCCATGGCCTTGTCAGGAATTGTCTCCAACCCTAGAAGTGAAGTTGTGATTCAGAAAACACTGGAATAGCTGGGCGGTGGTGGCACACACCTTTAATCCCAACATCCGGGAGGCAGAAGGATTTCTGTGAGTTCACGGCCAGCTTGGTTTGTTGAGCCAGTTGCAGGACAGGCTCCAAAGCTACTGAGAAACCCTGACTTGAAAAACCAGAAGAAAACACTGGAACAGAGCTCCAAGGCCTCTTCTGCTGAGACATCATTGTAACAGGGAAATCTTGTCCTCTCTGCCTTAGTCTTCTGCTCTTTTTTTTTTTTTCTTATTAATTGGACTCACTTTTAGTAATGATACAGCATAAAAACAGCATGCCGGTCATTTTAAAGGAAGACCTTACTTTTGCATGGTGTCTGGCTGTATATTTATTTAATATATACTTACTGACTAAAGTATGCAGTATTCATCAGTACCTTGTCTCCTTTCACACTGAGACTTGGTCCTTCCTTGACATTTTACTTCTCACGTCACCGTAGAAATGATAGCTGCAGTCATGGTCTTTACTTTCTTTCTCCCTTTTTCTCCTGCCTCTGCTGCCCGAGTGCTGCGTGTAAAGGTGTACGCCACTCCACCTGGCTCGGTCTTCTGTGCTTTGGCTCTTCCTTTAATTGCCTGCAGCCGCGATACCACCCTTAACAACCCCATGGGGCGAGATGGAGTCCAGAAAAACTCACACAGGATAGGCAGGTGCTCTACCAATGAGCTACACTCCAGCCTCATTTTTCACATCGATGTACCCACATCGAAACACTAGGTACTACGAAAATGTAATTAACAATCTACATTTACCCTGGGGGTCCAGACAATAGTCATCCCGTTCATTTTGCAATAACTAGTTTTATTTTGTGTAAATGGATTGTTTGAATGTTGCCTGTTAGTAATATAGAGGATTTTATGTAGTTTTTATTATTTTGGAGAAATTTCTCATCCTTTTTACCAGTTTATTTGTGAGAACTTATATTCTTAAATGTGTTGGAGTTTAAAGGAAGAGTGAAATTTGAATTATGGTGTTGGTGTTCTTCTATAAGTCTTTGAAACAAGTTTTCTTACTATACGCCGACCAAGTAAACCATGCCTTGTTTCTTTAAGCTGCTCCCTGAGGTCAGAAGCATGTCTTATGATAAATATAAATCTCCACATACTAACTTCATGGGGCTTCTTTCTTCAACTTGATTTCCTCTTGATGTTCTCAAAATAATTTTCCTTTAGAGTTGTCTGAACAGCAGCAAGAATTCCAAGCAACCGCTCGAAAGTTTGCCAGAGAGGAAATCATCCCGGTGGCGGCAGAATACGACAGAACCGGTGAAGTGGGTATCACCTTGTAGGGAGAAGAGTCTCGTGCTGTTAGGAGATCATGTTACCATTGGCTGTAGTGTGACTGTGTTGTTTTATCCCTTTTAGTACCCATTCCCCCTCATTAAAAGAGCCTGGGAACTTGGTTTGATTAATGCACACATTCCGGAGAACTGTGGTAAGCTTCCTTCACATTCTTAGTCCCAAAACTAAAAAAAAAAAAAAAAAAAAAACCCAGAAATTGTCTCATCCCCTAAAATGTCTATTGCTGGTCAGTGGCTTTCTGCCTTTGTTTCCCTATTTAGAGCACTCAGATTTGCCTGCTTTGGGGAGACTTTCCTTAGCATGGAGCGCAGGCATTTTCCTTGTCTAGCTGGGTTTGAGTTTGCTGAGTTGTTCTTTGTGTTATAATTTCTGCTCTGCATACACCATCATGCCACAGGTGGTCTTGGACTGGGAACTTTCGATGCGTGTTTAATTACCGAAGAGCTGGCGTACGGGTGTACAGGGGTGCAAACTGCTATTGAGGCGAATTCTTTGGGGGTGAGTTACTAAGAAAATAGCTTACAATGGTCCCTGTGAGACTATTCGGGGCATAAAGGCTTCTAAGGGCTTGAGTTCCACCCCAGGAACCCTGTGGTAGATGACACCTGACTCTCTCAAGTTGTCATCTGGTTTCCAGAAGTGACCTGTGGCACATGCAGACATACATGTACACACATGTGCACATACATACAAAATAAGTAAAATTATAATTTAAGAGCTTGTTAATTGTTTGCCTGGGCTGTTAATGAGATGCCAACAGTAAAGTTAATTTAAACTTTAGGGACGATTTGCTAGCCTGGCTTGGAGATATGATTGCCCAGACCGATCATGGTGGTTCTGTTTTCTCTGGGGACTGGAGTTTTGGGTGTCCTTGTGAGGAAACTGGACACTTGGCTACAGCCTCCTTGGAAGGTCTCAGGCAAGGGCAAGGCCTGAGGTGCTCAGAAGCCATCCTAGTGGCCTGCTGCCCACTTACTGCGCTGAAATCTACTGAGCATCTGCTCATAGATACCGCGTCCCATATCCTAAGTTGAATCCGTGAGCGTCTTGCTGTTGTCAGTGGTTGTATACTGCCAACGAGCCTGCCTATAACGTGAGGCGCTTAGACTGGTAGATATGGCTTCTTGCTCGGTAGCTTCCTAGTTCAGAGCAAATGCCAATTCTTTGAATTCATTCCTTCTGGGAGGCAGATGGTTCTTTTTCATTTGTTAGACTGTGTTTCTGAAGCTTCATAACTAATAAAACATCTTGCTGTCTTAATGTTAATTTTCCTTGGTAGCAAATGCCTGTGATTATTGCTGGAAATGAGCAACAAAAGAAGAAGTACCTGGGGAGGATGACTGAGCAGCCAATAATGTGTGTGAGTGTGACCAGCCTTGGACTCCTGCCCCTCCTGCTTCCCCTGCTCGGTCTGTGGGCTGCCTGGGCTTGAACCCAGGACCTCATGCACACCAGGCTCTGTTCCCAGCCCTGTCCTGTTTCTGTCCTCATCTCATGCAGTTACTTCTGCAGAGTGTACATACTCCCTTCTTTCTTCTTCTTACAGAATATCCTTTCTATGTGAGATTTGACTTAAGCATCTCAAGGAAGCTGGTGTTTAATGGCGATGATTAGCGTGGTTACCCTGTTTCCTTGTGAAAATCTCAAGGGCAGGCTGCATTTTACTATCTGATTTTATAGCCTACTACGTCATAAATATTAAATGACTATTCAAATAGATCAGTTTATATTAAGTTAAATTTAGTGAATTTGTTTGAATATACCTAGTATTTTAATATTTCCTATAGTTTATTGGTATCCTGTGCCTAATTTTATTTACATATTAAATATTTTAACATTTGGGCAATTTATTTGGTTTTTCTCTGTCCTGTCAGCAAGCTCCCAAATAATAACACAGAGACTTATTATTAGTTATGAAGGCTTGACCTTAGCTTAGGCTTCTCTTAACTAAGTCTTATAATTTAAATTAACCCAGTTATATTAATCTAAGTTTTGATTCATGGCTTTTTTACCACTCTTCCATCTTGTTCCTCCTGTTTCCCCTCAGTCCCCCGGCCTTTCCCTCTTGATTTCTCTCTCTCTCCCCCCAGTCTCTCTCAGAAGGCCCGCCTATACCTCCTTGCCTAGCTATTGGCTGTTCAGCTTTTTATTAAACCAGTCACAAAGATGCATCTTCACACAGTGTAAGCAAATATCTCACAACATACAAACCTGTAATGTTAGACATTGACTTATAATGCTACCTTCAAAGACAAAATGCAGGGTCTAGGATATAGCTCACTGTAGAACCCTTGCTTAGCACACTTGAGAACCTGGGTTCTTTCCTAGCACCACAAAACAAGCAAAATGATACTATCACCAGGCATTCACCATGGGATAATTAACATTTATTTCCTCGTGTCCGTATGTTCAAGGCCTACTGTGTTACAGAGCCCTCAGCAGGCTCTGACGTGGCCGGCATTAAGACCAGAGCGGAGAAGAAGGGCGATGAGTATATCATCAACGGCCAGAAGATGTGGATAACCAACGGAGGGAAGGCCAACTGGTACAGTTACTAACCACTGTGTCTTCCGAGACTTCCCTTTCCTCTTTTGTTCTTAAGTGTCTCAGCTAAAGCAAGCCATGGTTTTGAAACTGGAAGATTCATGTGACGATATAAATAACTCAGTGATGCAGTAACTATTTTAAGCCCCTGGGCTATTTCTTCCAGATTAATTTAAGAAGTCTAATGTGTAAAGTGTAGTAAAAATAGCTAATCTCACTGAGTTATCAGTTAGGCTTTACTGCCCCTGCCCCGTCTACACTGGCATTTCCCTCAGGAAATAAAACTCTCTGGAAAAACACAAAGATATTTGTAGGATGTTGTTCTGGTTCTCATGGATTTGTGGTTCTCAGGTCGAACCTGGAGCTTTGTGCACACCAGGTAAAGACTATGCTGTGGTGCCCATCCCCAACAGAGGCATTCTTAAAACTTGAGTTGGACCGGGAGCCATGGACACTCCTTTAGTGCGAGCACTCAGGAAGCAGAAGCAGGCAGATCTCTATGAGTTTAAGACCAGCCTGCTCTACAAAGCAAGTTCCAGGACAACCCAGACTAGTATACAGAGAAACCCTGTCTCAAAACTGCTCCCTCATACCCCCCAAAAACCACTTGAGTCATGAGGCCAGGGAGATAACTCAGTGGTTAAAGACCTTACCTGGCATGCACAAAGCCCTGGGTTTAACCCTCTGTATCATCTAAAAATAAAAACCAAACCATTCCTGGTCATGTACTCCTGTATTTCTAGCACTTGGAGCAAAGGTAAAAGGATCAGGAAGTATAAGGTTCTCTTCAGCCACATAGCAAGTTCCAGCCAACTTGGGCTCATGAGACCCCCTCCAAAATTTTGGACAAAAACCTGAGTTTATGCACAAAAGAGGGCAGTAGTTGAGGTGAGCGACGTCTAAAACTTCCAAATATGTAGGTGTAAAGACAATTACATAAAGTTCCATTAAACATCAAAAATCATTTACATAAATATAGATAAAATATTAAGAAGAATACCTGATCATTTGTTAAAGAAGAAAGTTTAATAAACTATAAATTTGGTGGGATTGGCCGATGAGGGGCCGAGTGATTCCAGGCTGAGGGAACAGGAGTACAGGCCAGCCTGGAGTTAGCACAGCTAAGATACGTCTCGACAGAAAGGATCCAGATGCAGTTAGTTATGGCAAGCCTCTGAAACATGCTCAGAAACATTTTGTCTGGGTTAATTTGGAATACGGTTAGAATTTAAATTTTAAATTATATTTCATGGAAAAGAGAACAGAGTTGCATACAGTGGCACATGTCTTGAGTCCCAGCACTTGGAAGACAGGAATATCAAAGGTTTACTGAGAGACTCAAAGGTAGGTAGATAGGTAGGTAGGTAAGTAGATACCTTCTTGACCTTTTGACTAAGATCAAATGGAGTAGGCTTGCATGGTTACTTCAGGAAGACAGTTAAGAATTAATGAATGAGGGGCTGGAGAGATGGCTCAGTGGTTAAGCGCATTGCCTGCTCTTGTAAAGGTCCTGAGTTCAATTCCCGGCAACCACATAGTGGCTCACAACCATCTGTAATGAGATCTGGTGCCCTCTTCTGGCTTGCAGACATACACACAGACAGAATATTGTATACATAATAAATAAATAAGTATTTAAAAAAAGAATTAACGAATGATAGAAACTCTAGTTCATTTTAAGGACAGTCTTTCCAATAATAGGGCCCATATGCATTGTCTTGGGAAGTAGGGTTTTTGTCTATTACTGTAAGTATCTGACAGAAGACTTCTTAAGTCGGGGTTTAGGGGATGTCTTACTACTTTATTGCTGTGAAGAGAAACCATGACCAAGGCAACCCTTACAAAAGAAAGCCTTTAACTGGAGGCTTGCGTATAGTTTTAGAAGATTAGTCCATGATCATCATGGTGGGAAGCAGACAAGAGTGGTGTTGGAGCAGTAGCTGAGAGCTTTACTTCCTGATCCACAGGCAGGGCAGAGAGAGAGAGAGGAGACAGAGAGACAGAGAAACTGGACCTGGCGTAGGCTTTTGAAATCTCCAAACCTACCCCCAGTGACATACCTCCTCCAGCAAGGCCTCACCTGTCGTGGTCTCGTGGCCAGCCCAGACCATAAATTATTTCTTGGACCAGAGGGGAGGCGTGGGAATAATTGAGGCATACCTCACATGACTTTATCGGGAGGGAGTTTTCAGGGATCCCTCATGAGATCCTGAGTTCACATCCTGAAAATCCACCTGCGTTTACTCTCCAAACAGCTTTTATATCAAAGTGTAAACTGAGGGGGAGATTCATCAGCATTCTGTTTCTGGGGTAGTGGGACTTAGGTCATGGCAGCAACTCTGGCTGCTCTGTCACACAGCCGGAATTAACACCTCTTTCCCAAGCGTCCTAATTACAAAGGAGCAAAGCGACATTAGCATATCCTGACCTTCTGTCTAGGCTGGCATCAGTTCGTCTCAAAAGGCTAGGTGACCACCTTCTGTGTGGCAGGTACGACCTGTGGCCTAAAATTCTGGTCGCCACACCATGTAAAAATATGGGCCTATATAACACACCTTTTCCACCAAGGCCACACCTCCTGACTCTTCTCAAACAATTCTACTCCCCAGTGACTGAACATTCAGATACATAAGGCATAGGTAGGAGATTAGGGTGGAATTATGTTTTGTTTTTTTTGTGTTGTTTTGAACACAGTTTCATTCTGTAGCTCAGGCTGGTCTAGAAGTCACTGTGGAACATAGCCTGAACTCAAACTCATGGTGATCCTCCTGCCTTAAACTTTCAAATGCTAGGATTACAGGTCTGACCCAGCACAGCCGACTCTGAAAAGAGTCTACGTCCGTAGATTTATGTGATGTGCAGTGTGGGAAAGCATCCCACCATGGGGAACTGTGCTGCTCACAAAATGAACACCTATTGTGCACAGGCGTCAGGCCTGGGACTAGGAATCTGAAAACTGTTTATTCTGACCAGTCCCTTTGAGTATCCTAAATGAGGCCGGTACTACATTCAGTATCCTGATTCAGTATCCACCGGAAACAGCATCATTTCCTACCCTCACACCACATCAGCAAGTAATAAAGAAGTAAAGAAGCCATGAAAATTGAACAAGCTAAGGGAAATATAATAATGCAATTAAATAATCACAGTTTTGAGAACCGATTATAATTCTTCCGGGGGAAGACAAGTTCGGTGAGTCATGAAATTAGAAAATAATTTTGTCTCTTTCTACTACCACGTAAAATTATACTCAGTGATAAACTGACAAATTATTGGTTTTTTTTAGCATAAAAACTAATTTATTGCTTAAGGAAGACTAAAACGCTCAATTGCTCTCTTCTCTCCTTCAATGCTAGGACTGACTAGTCCAAAGCTCAGCTTGGACTCGAGCCATATGACTTTTTGTTCTTTTGTGAAGGTTCCAGAAAAAAAAAAAAAAAACAATCTGTATCACGATACATGGAAAAGTAGTTTGGATGTGGGGATTTCCCTTCCTTATGCTGTATTTCTCAATCTTTCTATGGGAAAAGCTGTAAATATCCCTAGTAATTGAGGTACAGTGTGTGCACTGGATCTGCTGCCCCTGGGAACCACCCTGACAGCACCCAGATCCTGCCCGTTCATTCCACGGATCACTTGTCCTGTCAAAAATAAAGACCTGCTCGCGAGGAGCAGTCCAGCTCCTACACATGTGTTCTGCTTTCGTGTTGTCTTGGCTGCAGGGATTTTCACCAATAGCTCATATCCACCCTAAAGTTAGCTGAAAAGTCTGGCCACAGTGGAACTGGAATCTGTGCGAGTTCATTTCCTTTCCTGTTAAGTGGGGGTGGTGACACTGGGGGCTGGCGGGCAGGTAGCTGAGACAGATTTCATCCTCACTATTGCCTTCATCGTGGGTTTCTGTGCCTTAGGTATTTCTTGTTGGCGCGCTCTGACCCAGATCCTAAAGCACCTGCTAGTAAAGCCTTCACCGGGTTCATTGTGGAAGCTGACACCCCAGGAGTCCATGTCGGAAAGAAGGTAAACAGCGTGTCTCTCAACACTTGCCTCCCTAAGAGCAATGTCAATTGTAAATGCCAAAATTCTTATTTCTTTCCTTTAATGAAAATATTTTAAGTTGTAATAAAAGTTGAGTTGTGTCTTGATGATATTGAGGACATAGTTTGTATGCCACTAAAAATCTTTCAAGTCATTTTGAATGACAGGACCTTTGTTTTTGTTTTTTTAAAGATTTTGTTTATTATGTATGCAATGTTCTGCCTGCATGTTTGCCTGCACACCAGAAGAGGGCACCAGATCTCATTATAGATGGTTGTGAGCCACCATGTGGTTGCTGGAAATTGAACTCAGGACCTCTGGAAGGGCAACCAGTGCTCTTAACCTCTGAGCCACCTCTCCAACCCCAGATGGGCCGTTTGTGCAGAACACATTCATGATGGCTGTAGCTGTGGATTGAAGCCAGGCTGCCATGATTGCTGCCTCACCATAGAGTATGGGTCTCTCAGAGGACTCCTTCCTCCATCCCAGTGACTGGTTAGGACAGGTAAAGCCATTTGATGTAGATGGATTACCCACAATCCAACAGCATTAACAGAAGCAGCTGGACCTTGGAAACAGGAAGATGTCCGTCTGTGCCCTGGTGGGGGTGGGGTGGGAGAGCATGTTAAGTAAGAAAGGCAATGGCATGTCTGTATATCCCGTCTCTGTGTGCAGATAATTTGTGTCTTAGCCACAGAGAGCTTAAAACACCACACATCAAAGGAGAGATATTGTAGGAATATCGTCAGAAGTCCTGGTGAGAGCTTACACGTGTGGCTTAAGATTATAACCCTGGTTGAAATGCTTCTGCAAAGCAGAGATTTTAAAGAAAATTGTTGGCGATGAGGCCTGCAGCTATGACAAAGGAGGAATTGTGGAGATCAAGCCAGAGTTCTAAAGTTACCTGAACAAATAGTCTTCCTCCCACGTGGAAAGGTTCAGATTACCTGGTCAGATGTCGGAACTGCTCTCCTGAGGCTGAGCTGAAAAAGCAAATTTGAATTGATTGTTAATATAAAACAGATATCTAAACCAACTTTCTGTGTTTATAGACTCTGCTCTTGTGTCCAGATCTCTTTAGAAATGTGTTGAGCGTGAATTCTAGTTGGTCTTAATAATAAAAACCCAGAGTCAGATGTAGGGGTTAATGCTGAAGATCAGAGAAGCAGAGAGGCCAAGCACTGGAGAGTTCTTTCCTCTACCAATGCTCAAACCGAAGGGGCGAAGGGGAGATCCTCTCCTCAGGCCGCATCTCCAGACTCCTCCACTGAGTTCCTCCCGCCTTATAGTCCTCTCTCCGCCCTAGGGCTGGGATTAAAGGCGTGTGATCCCAAGTGCTGGGATCACGTTTGTGTGAACGCTTCTCTTTTAGACAGATTCAATCTGTGTAGCTCAGAGTGCCCTTGAACTCTGATACCCCTCTGCCTCTGTCTCCCTGGCCTCTCGTGACTTAGCTCTGCACTCTGATCTTTAGGCAAGCTTTATTAAAACATGAACAGAATATCCCTCCAGAGGATGTAAAATGTTTATAACTTCTGCCTGTAATGAGTCCATTTCTGTCCCCCCCCAGCAAGTTCCCAAGTAATGACACAAAGACTTCTATTAATGACGAAAGCTCGGCCTTAGTTTAGGCTTGTCCCTAACTAGTTTTTGTAACTTAAATTAACCCATATCTTTTAATCTACGTTCTCCAAGATGACTTTTTACCTTTCCTTTATTTTTACCTCCGACTCCCTCTGTGTCTGGCTGGCAACTCTGCCTTTCTTTTTCCCAGAGTCCTCTCTGTTCCCTGAAGTACCCCCACCTCTTCTGCCCAGTTCTTGGCCATTCAGCTCTTTATTACACCAATCACAGTGACACATCTTCACAGTGTACACCTATCCCACAACAGCTTCCAGGCAAGGGAGTGCACGCCTTCAATCCCAGTGCTCCAGAGGCTGAGGCAGGAGGATCACAAATTCTAGGCCAGCTTAGACTATTTACCGAGACTCTTTGTCTTCAAAAAGGAGGCAAGGTCATGGAAGTTTAAAGGCTGAGCCCTTGTGTGCTGTTTACTTCAGCCCGTTTGCTGACTCCAGAAACCAAGGTCCAAGTAAATGATTTACTGACTGTCTCTGACATTGTGTCTTTTACTAACAGACTCTCGTAGGATTTTGACCTGTGCAATTTCTGATGCCATATTATGGTATATTTTGACGGCAGACTACGCTTTACAAATAGGCTTCCAACACCATGTGTATAACAGAATGAGCACCGTGGGTAGTCACGCTTCCCCCAGAGGTTGGCGTGTGTGTGGCAGATCGTGCTCTCCCATTGAGAGGTGGTTCCTGGCAGACTCGGGGCCAAGTCTGGCCCATCTCAGCTAAGGAGCCTCAGCACTTGTACTTTACCAGTGGCAAACTGGAATGACAAGTGATGTTGTCTTATTGTTTCTGATCTCATTCTCACGTAGGAAAACTCTAGCTGGATCAGTATCTATTACTGAATGCAGTATCTAGTAGGTACTGATAAAAATCTCTACCCCTGGGGACTTGCTTCCTTGTGAGGGGGTGTAGATATTTTTATTATTAGCTACTTAGCTCCTAAAATGTTTATAAATTTATAAATCCGTGTGATTCATACTGTAAATTTCTTTTGTCTTAGGAATTGTGTACTTTGAGATGAGTCTGAGAAGTATTCTGGGTTTTATGAGACACTGAGTTCACTGTGTTGACCAGGCTAGCCTTGAACTCACAGAGATCCGCCTGCCTCTGCCTCTGCCTCTTGAGCACTGGAATTAAAGGCGTGGACCACCACACTTGACCTTGTTCTAGGTCTCTAACCTTTTACTATGGCTAATTTATATAAACTGGGTTTTATTATAAGTATATGAAAAGCCATTGTGGGGCTGGAGAGATGGCTCAATGGTTAAGAGCATTGCCTGCTCTTCCAAAGGTCTTGAGTTCAATTCCCAGCAACCACATGGTGGCTCACAACCATCTGTAATGAGGTCTGGTGCCCTCTTCTGGCCTGCAGGCATACACGCAAAACAGAATATTGTATACATAATAAATAAATAAATTAATTAATTAATTAAATTAAAAAAAAAAGAAGAAAAGCCATTGTGTGTAAAGGACCTAGTACTATACATTGCCAGGTTCCTGCTCCCCCATAGAATACAAAGTAAATAAATGCCCCCCAAAAATAGGAAAGAAAAGTCCATGTTTTGTTCTGTAGATCACTTTGCTGATGATTACAGGCTCTAAGATTATGTTTGCAAAATAATTTAACAGAGAGAAGGTGGCCTTCAGACATGAACAAGGTAAGTTGCTATATAGAACTTTAGGCTCGTGCTGTTTTCAGTTTGTTAATACTGTTTTTGATCAGGGGCTGGCACATATTCTAGAAAGACCCAGAAACATGGCAGGCTTAGCAGGTGTGAGATCTCCTGCACAACTCAGCTCTGAATTATAGTCTCGGGGTAGCCACAGAAGATGAGCAGAGGTGGGTGTGCTCCTACTCCATGGAGGCTCACTTCTTGGAACAGGAACAGCAGGCCCTGCGTTGTAGCCCCTGCTTTAGGTGACTGCAAAGAGGCACAAAGGGACAATCGACTGTGACAGCGCCGGGACTCTTAGGTGCTCTTCTGTGATCTTCTTGCTAGGAATTAAACATGGGCCAGCGATGCTCCGATACAAGAGGAATTGTCTTTGAAGATGTCAGAGTGCCTAAGGAAAATGTTTTAATCGCTGAAGGAGCCGGTTTCAAGATTGCGATGGGGGCTTTTGATAGAACCAGACCTACAGTAAGCTGATTATCTTTGTGGGACCTTGAGTTTGTGGTTTTCAATGAGGTTTATTTTAACATTGCATGCCTTTTTTTTGGGGGGGGGTAGTGGTGGTGGAGAGGAGATTGTTACATGTACTATATTTTTCACCTTCTTTTACTGCTCAATATAGAAGCTATTTTAGCAGACGCTAAACTACTGTCTGCTAGATTTCCAGAAAGCTCACCCCCGACTTGATCATTCTTGTTGATTGTGGATCACCATGTATTCTGCCGCTCACTTAGAATGTGTCTGTGGAAGGAAGGCTCCCTGGTTAAACAGTAATGACTTTTCTCTAGGCTGTGTGCCTCAGCCTCACACTTGACCTATTTATTTATTTACTTATTTATTGCACAGCAATGGGATAAACTCAGGGTCCACTGAAGGCCAAGCATGCACTCTCTGCCACTTAGCTGCCTTCCCAGCCCCTGCCATTACCTTTATTATTTATTAAAATAATAAATCCCAGGGCTCCTTCCTTCCCCCACCGCAGTGACGACACTTGGCTGAGACAGGTAGTGTTGTGTTGTGTGGCTTGACAACAGTGTCAACTTTTGTGTCACTCGGTGCTAATGTCCTAGGTAGCAGCTGCTGCTGTTGGGCTAGGCCAGAGAGCTCTGGACGAAGCTACCAAGTATGCCCTGGAGAGGAAAACGTTTGGAAAGCTGCTAGCAGAGGTAATCTTTCGCTCTCTCTGAGTGTGAACGTGTGTGTACGTGTGTGTGTGTGTGTTCGTGGGTGAAAACATACTTTTGCACATTTATGTGGAGATCAGAAGTCCTGTTAGCTTTTTTTGGTTTGTTTTGTTAAAACAACAATTTCTCACTGGCCTGGGGCTCATCAGTTAGGTTAGGTCAGCTCAAGCGACCAGCCTGTCTCTGCCTCTCTGATGCTAGGATTCCTGGGAGGCACCTCTGTACCCAGCTTTTCTCATGGGTTCTGGGAATCTGAACTCTGATCCTCAGGCTTGTGTGGCAAGCATTTCGCTGACAGCTACCTACCCAGCTCTTAAGAAGGCGGTCTATGTACTGTGTTTGCTGTGTTGAAATTTAAATACACTCATTTTATCTAAATATTTAGAAGTTACTTTTAAAGAAGAAAGTAATCTGTTTTGTCAGGAAGAAGACTCTGTAGTTCATCACAATCACTTGTAAGAGTACATTTTCTCAGCCAGGTGGTTGTGGTGCACACTTTAATCCCAGCACTTGGGAGGCAGCAGCAGGTGAATCTCTGTGAGTTTGAGGCTAGCCTGGTCTACAGAGCTAGTTCCAGGGCAGCTAAGGATACACAGAGAAACCCTGTCTCGAAAAACCAAAATGCAAGGAAGAAAAGAGTACCCTTGTTTTGACGGTGTCACTTACAATTGCTCACCCTGTAAATTATATTAGGAAAAAGAGTAGGTAATATTTAAGTTGCCTTCTGTATACCTTTTCTGGTAGCCCTGGCTGGCCTGTATGTAGACCAGGCTGCCCTCAACCTCACTGAGCTCCTCCTGAGTGTTTCCGTCAAGCCTGGCTTCATGATTATTTCTGGTTGTGGTAACTTCTCCTTACTTCTTTCTGCATCAGCTCCCTGTCTGACATTGGGATGGTAAAGATGGCTTCCTGTCCCACTTCCTCTAACTCTGTGGATCCTAGCTTTTATGTGTTCTCTCTCTAGCCTTAACTTCTGCACTGAGCTCCAAGCTGAGATTTAAAGATGGCTCCTTATCATTTCCAAACCGAAGATCACTTCCTGTCCCTCTTCTCTTTCCCTCTTCCTTAATATTTTATTCTCAAAATTTCAGGAGGCTTCTCCTGAGACCCAGCTGGATTCCCAGTATCAACTGCAGCACCATTTTAGTGTTCTGTCTGCCTTTACTGGCTCTCTCATTTCTTTTTTTTTAAACATTCATTTATTTATTTATTACGTATACAATATTCTGTCTGTGTGTATGCCTGCAGGCCGGAAGAGGGCACCAGACCCTATTACAGATGGTTGTTAGCCACCATGTGGTTGCTGGGAATTGAACTCAGGACCTTTGGAAGAGCAGGCAATGCTCTTAACCTCTGAGCCACCTCTCCAGCCCCGGCTCTCTCGTTTCTTTCAGATTCTACTCACTTCCCATTCATTTTATTGCACCTCCCTCTGTTTACTATACATGGTAACATCTTTACACCCATTACACCACAGCGTGCTGAGTGTGCCCTCCCTCCACCTTCACACCCATTACACCACAGCGTGCTGAGTGTGCCCTCACTCCCCGCCTGGACACTGCTCCATGTGAGGTGGGGTTTCTATATTAAACTTCCTTAGCTTTAATCTCACTTAACATCTGCCGCGTGAAAACACTTGGATGCTTTCTCTGTTGCCGGCACTTCTCAGTGTGTACCAACTCATTCCGTTCCCCCAGTGCCGTGGAGCTGGCCCTGCCGTTTTCATTTACGTAAGAACATTAGATCCAGCTAATAAACAACAGCACTAAGACATGGACCCAAAGAATCAATCATTTACAGATCCTGTTCTCCATGTGCAAAGGAGGCTGGGCAGTTTCTGCCCCTGAGAACATCTGTTCTGGAGATAAGCTCCTCCTCATAGAGCAAGTGCTCACAAAGAAATGGAGCAGCATTTAAGTCCCCAGATGAAACCTATGAGGTGGAGTTACCAGACTCAAAAGGAGAGCGGCTACCGTGGGTCGAAGATGCTGCAGCGAGGCAACTCCTGTAAATCACCTTCAGCAATCGATAAATGCTCCTGCTTGGGCCACGTTAGATTAACCCCAGCCTGGAGCGGTGGCACTCGGTAGACTCAGGCAGTAAGCGTTTGAGGCAGCTTGAACTACATAACAAGACCCTGTTCGATAATGAATTCATTAATCAAAAACAAGATGTGTATCGTGGCACACACTACAACCCTTCCACCTGTAGCGCGTGTTACGTGCCAGTCACGACACAGCACCTGCCGTCTCTTCGGGGAGGGTTGGTTTTCGTCTCCCGTTCGGTTATGACAAGAGCAGGAAGCATCATGTGCATTCTTCCATCTCTGTAACAGCTTCCCTTTGAAAGCCCTGGCAGGGCAGAACTTGGCAGACATACCTGAAATCCCAGCCTCTCCGGAGGCTGAGGATCACAAGTGTGAGACCGCATGGGCTGCTCAGAGAGTCTTGTCTGATAAGAGGTGCTAGCTCCAGCCCCACATTCCATTCATTGGGGCCCCCACTGTGTCGTCTAGATCTCTGCAGACGCTTGAAGCACAAGAATGCCTGGTAATCTGCGCAGCTGAATCCAAGACCTCATCCTAAGAATGGGAAAATGCAGATAAGCCAAACCAAGAAGAAACTTACCAAAAAATCCATATTCTTCAGAAGGACAAAAGTCAGGAAATAAGACAGGAATTGCATGGTCTGGGGGCAGGGGATTCTCTGAGGTAGTAACTACAGCAGGGTAGGTCTTGAGTGAGTTCAAGATCAGTGTCAGCTATATAGCAAGACTGTCTTCAAATAGAAAAGAGGGGGCTGGGGAGATGGTTCAGTGGTTAAGAGCAGTGGCTGCTCTTCCAAAGGACCCAGGTTCAATTCCCAGCACCCAGCTGGCAGTTCAGAACTGTCTCTAACTCCAGTACCATGGGATCTGACACTCTCATACAGACATAAATGCAGGCAAAACCCCAATGGACATTAAATGAGCAAATAAATCTCTTTTAAAAATGGAAAAGAGGCAGGGTGCAATGATGTATGCCATTAATCCCCACACTTGGATGCAGAGGCAGGTGGATCTCTTGAGTTTGAGGCCAGCCTGATTTACAGAGTGAGTTCCAGGACAGCCAGGGCTACACAGAGAAACCCTGTCACAAAAAACCAAAAGAAAAATGAAAAAGCAAGAATCCGTCTTTGATCCTGAAATGGATAACAGGATTTGGTAGGAGACCTGGCCAGTCTGGCTGGGGTCTCTGCAGTTTTGCAGACCCGCGCCAATTGCTTTGGTCATTGCATTGTGGTCATTTATTAGATGATGTGGGATGTCTTCCTGTATATGTGTTGCTTTTATTGGTTAATGAGTAAAGCTGTTTTGGCCAATGGTTTAACAGAGTAAAGCCAGGCAGGAAATCTGAATAGAGATATATAGAGAGAGTAGGCGGAGGCAAGCTGTTGTCATGTAGCTGCCAAAGGAGAAGGACCGGAACCTTACTGGTAGGCCACAGCCTCGTGGCCATACACAGATTAATAGAAATGGGTTAATTTAAGATGTAATAGCTAGGTAGGAATATTGGCCAAACAGTGTTGTGATTAATATAGTTTCTGTGTGATTATTCGGGTCTGAGCAGCAGGGAAACAAAAAGCAGTCTCCATCTGCAAAAGTCTTACTGCTAGGGGATGCTAGCTGTAACTTATCTGCAAATTCAAAATCAATGCAAAATAAAAAGTAAAAACGTTTTAAGAAAAAAATTACAAATACGTCCAGTAGCTCCCCTTTAACTGTTTTCTTCCTTAAATCTAGCACCAGGGAGTTTCATTTCTGCTTGCAGAAATGGCGATGAAAGTTGAACTCGCAAGACTCGCTTACCAGAGAGCAGCTTGGGAGGTTGACTCTGGCCGCCGGAACACATACTATGCCTCCATTGCAAAGGCCTTTGCTGGAGATATTGCCAATCAGGTAGCGACTGACGCCGTGCAGATTTTTGGAGGCTATGGGTTCAACACAGAGTACCCTGTGGAAAAGCTGATGAGAGATGCCAAGATCTATCAGGTAGGTGTAGTCCTGTTTCTGGGGGGACAGGACATCCATAATTGACAACAGTAGATTTAAGCCACTGGTAATAGTGACAGTTGGAGCAGCACAATGGCCCAGAGGGTAAAGGGTGCCTCACTTGCCACTGAGCCTGACAGCCTGAGTTGGAGTCCTAGAACCCACATGGTAAGAGAACGGACTCTTAAAAGTCATCCTGTGAGCTCCACGTAAATGCCCAGCATGCATGCACCCACACAATGCATGTGGAAGACATTCTGAAATAAAATATATTATAATTATAGATTGGTAAGAGTCAGATGTTGTACCTAATCAACACAGAGGAAGAATATTGTTTAAGTGTGGCTGCTAAGAGGGAAAGTAAAGTAGATGGCACCGGCACGTATCTCCTGCCTAGCTGCCATTGAGTCTTCAAATTTAAGCCAGTTACAATCTGCATTTCTTGCCCTCCGAAAAATATGCATGCTTTTTAAAATTATCTTGTCTGGAATATTGCCTGACATTTTTTAATTAATTGAAACTGTACTTATAGTCAAAAGCCATGTGTTCTTGAGAAGCGATACTTGACTCTGAAATGAAGTTGATTTTATAAAATTTTAGGATAACTTCATAAAAAAAATGTTCTCCATTTTGGGTTATTTATAGTTCATGGTTCTTAATACCCCTGCTGTGTTCTGCACATTCCAACAAATGACTTAATGCCCCTGACGTGTTCTGTACACCCCAACAAATGACTTGACACCCCTGCCGCACACCCAACAGATGACTTGACAAATCTACTCATTGGAAAGGCGGAGGCAAACTGCTTGACTGAGACATGGGCAACTGGTCAAGTTTTTGCTGTTGTTTTAATTCAGTGTTTTGTTTTTAATTGATATTGTGCAATATTTTTTGTTCTTCTTTCAAGTTTGCCTTTTCTGGATGTTCATCACCTAATTTTCAGGCAGCAGAAGGGCCTTGTGTCATTAGCCATATGAGAAGAAATCCTCAAGAATTATAGCACTATCAAGCAGTGAAAGTTATGGGGCCACAGAGGCAGCTCGGCAGTTAGAGCACTCGCTGCTCTTTAAGAGGACCTGGGGTTGGATTCCCAGCACCCACATGGTGGCTCACAGCCATCTGAAATGACAGTTCCAGGGGAACTTTTTATTTAAACACGGGAGAAAAGAACACTGGAGCTTGCATCCTATCTAAAGTCCCCAGTCTTTGTAGAGCTGGTTCACCTTCCTCGTGGGCCAGCTGTGATCAACCCCTTGACCTTCCTCTGCTTCCCAGAAGGGAACTAACAACTGACGGAGATTAGAAGCTTAGATTGGGAATGAGGGTGGATTACCAGCCCACAGCCTCCAATATCTTGATTTCTTTAACAGTTCCTTAGGTAGCAGTAGGAAAAAGAATCGTGTTTAATAGGAAGGACCAAGAATGACCAAAGGGCATACCTAAAACAGCTCAGAAACATTTGATAATAAATACTCTGGCAATGCTAAACCTTAGATTTCCCAAACATTTTGAAGTGTAAATATAATTTTCTTTGATGTTTTAAGCCTGCCTCCCAGTTTTGTAAAATATATCTTTATGACTTAAACTGTTCTCATCAAATAGCATTTCAGTTTGGTGCTACAGTAGAGTTTAGACTGTTGTCTGAGACGTCAAATAAATCCAGGTGTTTAAACCAAGTTATGTTTTTCTTTCAGATTTATGAAGGTACTGCACAAATTCAGAGGCTGATCATAGCCCGTGAGCACATTGGAAAGTTTAAAAATTAAAAGGAATTGCTATTGAAAAGATGCTACATCCTCATGTAACTAAATCTCAAGACACTGTTTATGCTTAAGAGGGGGAAAGGGGCTTTATCATCTTTCCCAGGAAATAAAATAAAGATGAGTCACCCAAATCTGTGCAGTTTATTCCAGAGGTGGAGAGTGCCTCTGTTGAACTCCACGGTGAACTTTTCCAGATGAATTTGCTTTATTGGAACAATGAGTTGCCCTTAGTACCCCTGCCCCTAGCCTATGCTGATTTACTCTGTGATCAGTTAGCCACAGGGGGAGAGATCCAGTGTAGTTTTAATGCTCATTCAAGGACAGGAAAGGGGGCTTATTAAGAAAGAACTCAGTGAAAATTCTAAAATAACCATTGAAAACCTGGTAGATTTGGACCCATCAGACTCCAAATACTTAAAAGCATTTCTGTACTAAAGTGTGAATTTTATAGGTTTGAATATATTTACTTGTTTTGCACAAAAGAATAAATAAAAATTATATTTCATTTTCCCCATTATAAAACTAAGAAATTTCTTCAAAATCTTAATACTGCACCAACATTTTACTTGTCTTGTTTAAAATTATTCAGTCAAGCTAACTTTAAATTATTTTTCTATGACTCTTGGTGTTTGTATGAAATCTTTGTGCTGCTGTACACAGTTATTCACACACGACTTGGAAAAAGAACTGAAATAAACCAAGCTGCGCACTATTCCATGGTGTCGTGTGTCTGTGTGCAGTTTTAGTAGATCTTCTGTTAGAGACCACAGAAAGTGCAGGGCGGTGGTGGTGCACACACTTAATCCCAGCACTCAGGAGGCAGAAGCAGGCAGATCTCAGCCTGGTTGGCAGAGCGACTTCCAGGACAGACTCCAAAGCTACACAGAGAAACCCTGTCTTGAAAAACAACAAACAAAAAGACCACAGAAAATATAAACATGAAATAATGGCCGCAGTTTGTGAATTCGGTATTAAGTACTTGAGAAAGAAATGAAGCTAAGTGACAATGTTTTCTGGTTCTTCTGTTCTTTGATATCATGCTGTTTCCCTACAGACTATGGCCCTGAGCCATGGGTCACATGAGTGTTCCCTTCTGTTGCTTTTGTCAAGGTGTTTGTTGTAGCAACAGAAACAACAAAGACAAAACTACACCATTTCACACGTTTTGGTCTTCAGGCCCCCTATACTCTGCCCAATAAAGTTACAAATTCAGGTGTTCCCTGTAGTTGTTTTTTTTGTTTTCTGCTTGTCTGTTCATTTTTCTTTCCTTTTTTTCTTTTTATTATTTATTAAAGATTTCTGTCTCTTCCCCGCCACCGCCTCCCATTTCCCTCCCCCTCCCCCAATCAAGTCCCCCTCCCTTGTCAGCCCAAAGAGCAATCAGGGTTCCCTGACCTGTGGGAAGTCCAAGGACCACCCACCTCCATCCAGGTCTAGTAAGGTGAGCATCCAAACTGCCTAGGCTCCCACAAAGCCAGTACGTGCAGTAGGATCAGAAACCCATTGCCATTGATCTTGACTTCTCAGTAGTCCTCATTTTTCTTTTCCTGGGCCCACCACCCAGCTCCCAAATAAATACATGGTTACTTCTTACTTAGGAATGCCTGGCCTTTGCTTGGCTTGTTTCTAGCCAGCTTTTCTAGCATCAATTATCCAATTTCTCTTTAACTACATTTTTGCCTCTGGGCTTTTTACTTTCAGCTATCTTTCTTTCCTTCTATTCCGTGGCTGGCTGGCTGGCTGGCTGGCTGGCGGACAGGTCCCTGGCGTCCTCCTCTCCTTCTTTTCCCACCTCTCATCCTAGTCCCTAGATTTCTCCTATTTATTCTTGCTGCCCACCTGCCTCACCTGTTTCTCCTGCCTCGTTATTGGCCATTCAGCTCTTTATTGGCCCAATCAGGTGTTTTAGGCAGGCAAAGTAACACAGCTTTACAAAGTCAAACAGATGCAACATGAAAGAATGCAATACATCTTTGCATCATTAATGACAAATGTTCCACAGCATAAATAAATAATACATCTTAAACTGATATTTCACAGCAGTTCCCACGACCCCTCCCTCAGCTGTAATAATAAGCTGGAAGGCTCAGAGCTCAAGAAAACACTTACATGTGTCCATAAAGGATACATAAAGGATGTATAAAGGATACATCTCAGGAATATACCCTTAGTTTAAAAAAAAAAAGCTGGGCACTGTTGCGATTTAAAAGTAGGTCCACACTAGCCCAGAATGGAGTACAGCAGAGGTTTATTTATTTGGGAGCATAGATCTGCAGGCATCTGCGTGCTCGGGGAACTGGAACCGAGTCCAGCAGCCCAGACACCACAGCACATAACCAGAATCCCAACACTACTGAGGCAGAAGGATTATGAATCTGAGGCAAGCTTGGGGGACACAGCAAGACTCCTTGGGGAAAAAAAAGCTGGGCTGAAAACTCAGCAGTTAAGAGCACTTGCCATTCCTGAAAGGACCCACTGTGGCTCACAACCGCCTGTCACTCCTGCTCAAGGGATCCAATGCTCTCTTTGGGCCTTTGAGCACCAGGCATGTGTATGATGTACATACATACATGCAGGCAAAAAGCATTCAAGCACATAAAATAAAAATAAATCTTAAAAGTAAGTGTTTATAAATTACTATTATGACCAAGGTATAACTAAGTAATCGCGTATGTGCTTTGCATGTTCAATGTGTTTTGCATGTGTGATACCTAGCACACACCCCCAGTTGTATCTAGCAGCAAGTACTATAGACCTTAGCTTGAGCTGTTACATCAAAATCCCAAGAAGTGTATGGTTTAGAAACAACAGAAAAGTACTTCCCTCACTGCTGGGACCTGTAATTCCAAGAGCAGGCTGTCAGCGCAGCTGGTTTCTGGTGAATGCGCTCTGCCAGGCTTCCGGCTACTGTCTCTTGTAGTATCCTCTTAAGGCAGAAAGAACTGTAGCGCGGAAAATAAAAACCCAGAGACAGATGTTGGGGTTCAACCTCAAGATCAGAAAACAAAGCAGCCAGCCACTGGCTCTCACCTCTACCTCAGACTGAAAATAGGCTATCCCGCCTCCATGAATCCTCAGATTGAGACTGAGCATGAGACCTGACTCCTCCCATTTTCTATTTTTCTCTAATGTTGGGATGAAAGGTGTGTATAACCACTGCCTGGCCTGTATGCTGGCCAGTGTGGCTGCTTTGCACTGATCTTCAGGCAAACTTTATTTATTAAAACACAAATAATAGGGGGCTGGAGAGATGGCTCAGAGGTTAAGAGCACTGAGTGCTCTTCCAGAGGTCCTGAGTTCGGTTCCCAGCAACCACATGGTGGCTCACAACCATCTATGATAAAATCTGGTGCCCTCTTCTGGTGTGCAGATATACATGCAAGCTGTATACATAATAAATATATTTAAAAAAATAGAAAAAACACAAATAATATAGTGCTATAAAGTACCGGGTGGTGTGGCCTCTGGAAAGGGCGCTCATCCCACTTGTTAGGGCTCCACCCTTGGGACAATTAGCTCTCAGAGGTTCTGTCCCCCACAAACAGTCACTATGGGGATTAGACTTAAAGATCTGAATTATGAACAGACACAGCATGCAGTTTATAGCATGTGAAACTTAACAGCAGTAAAGTCAACTAAGAAGCTTAGAAAAGTGTTTGTTTGTTTTTTTTGCTGTTGTTTTTTACTTTTTTGAGACAGGGTCACTATGTAACCCTGGATGGCCCAAAACTAACTCTGCAGCCCAGACTAGCCTTTAACTCAAAGAGATCCACCAGCTGGCATCCTGAGTGCCACAAATTAAGGTGTGCCCTGCCACACTTGGCCTGACATTTGGATTTTAATAGATGTCTCTGAGCTAGCAATTTTTTTTTCTTTTGGTTTTTCGAGACAGGGTTTCTCTGTAGCTTTGGAGCCTGTCCTAGAACTCCCTTTGTAGACAAGGCTGGTCTCGAACTCACAGAGATCTGCCTGCCTCTGCCTCCCAAGTGCTGGGATTAAAGGCGTGTGCCACCACCGCCCGGCTGAGCTAGCAATTTCTTTAAGAACACTTTTCCGTGGGCCTTTCCCCTTCTGATAGCCCAAGTAAGCAAACCTCCCCCAGGAGTGACCAGGGCTATCTCTCAGGTGATTTCTGATCCAGTCCAAGATCACGTGCCTGGCATTTTCAAAGGTGTGAGTTCAATCCCCAGAACCTTAAAAAGAAGAAAAGGGCCAGGCGGTGGTAGTACACGCCTTTAACCTTGGCACTTGGGAGGCAGAGGCAGGTGGATGGTCTACAAGAGATAGTTCTAAGACAGGCTCCAAAGCTACAGAAAAAAGGAGGAGGAGGAGGGGGCAGAGGGGGAGGAGGGGGAGGAGGAGGAGGAGGAGTTAAAATGAAGAGGTTAAACCGTACGTTACTAATATAGAGTAAAAAAAGTAATCATTATTTTTGTAGTTTCAAGGTTCAAATCCAAGAGCTATTCCACGATAAGCATGCATTTTTATATGCTATCTTTTAAGCATCTTTCCATAGCATATATGGTGCTTTTTGTTCTTTTTAATTAACTGGGTAACAGATATACCATAATTTATTCTTTTTTTTTCCCTAGAGAATCTATGCCAGGCTGGCCTCCAAGTGCCTATACAGGTGGGGATTTGAACTACTGATCCTTCCGTCTCTGCTTCCCCAGTGCTAGGATTCCAGGTCAGCACCGCCACTCCCGATTTACACAGGGGCTGAAACCGATCCCAAGGAAACCACTCTTGGAGCTGCGCGACAATTCCAGCCCGGGGTCCTTCAGGCAGAAGCGTGGCCGGCTTCGTTGTGACCGCCGAGTCCTTCAGGCAGGAGTGCGGCCGGCTAAACGGTGACCGCGGGGTCCTTCGGGCTGCGCGGAACCGGCTAGGGAGGGCGGACGGGCGCGTGTGCGCAGGCGCGCGGGCGCTGACTTCCAGTGCTCGGGCGGAGCTTCAGTCTTTCTGCGCGCGGACATGGTGAGAGCTGGATGGTGTCGGTGCTCGGGAGTCGGGCGGCCGGGCTGGCTTGGCAGGGGGCGGCGGGAGGGCCTGCAAGGCTGATGCTCTCTTCTGGAGCCCAGGCTGGCCTAGAGCCCCCGGCCATCCTCCTGCCTCCGACTCCTCAGGCCGG